TCTCTCTCTCTCTCTCTCTCTCTCTCTCTCTCTCTCTCTCTCGCTCTCTCGATTGTGCGCCACGCTAGAAAACGTCAACATCAACGCAATAACATCTTTTCACGATTGTATCTACCATGTTTGTAACCGATTACAGAAATACAAAATGAATATTAATAATATTAATATAAGAAATACATTTGCATCAAATATTGCATCGTGGAGCACAATATAGAACTATGTAACTATAAACGTTACAATCTGAATTTTCCCGATCGGACGAACGACGGACGCTATTTAACAAAAAATGAGAAACACAACAACAGTAAAAAGTAAACGATAATGTGCTTTTGTCATAAATAAGAAGCATTAGCCGATGGTAGGAGGCGCTATGAGGGTAACATTCGCGAAATGATACGCGAGTCGCATGTAGCAACAATGCATAACACAGCGACAGTACGTAGGTCCTCATCAGACAATCAGCGATTTTATTATTTGAAAAAACTCGTGCACCATCATGACAAAGGGATAGTTTTAAATAGTCAACAAGTATCGCTCGAGAGTTGTAGTCGCGCGATATCAACACGACAAAACACGTACCTAGCATTAACAATTCGAAAAGTGTTAAGCTTGTTGAAATTTCGTTCCCACAGGCCGCTAGACGAAATAATAGAATCAATACGATGCAGTTAGAAGTAAATACTAATTGCGGATACATGGGGATTCGCGCGCGGAACAAGAGAGCCGCGAATAACTTATTAATTAATCAGTTATAGAAACTACGAATTCTCGGAACAGTGGGAAAAGGAAAAAATCGCGAACTCGAAACCTACATGCTTTACATCAAAACTATTTCGAACACGGTCCTCATAGTCCACGTCAAACGGGCAACCTTGATCCACGTCGCGCCTCCGTAATCATCGTAAAAATAAGAGCTGCCCGCGCGCTCTGCTCGTCACGAATGAGGAAGACCTCCTCTCCGATCTCTCTTTCTCGTATGTTTTACGAGATCTTCTTCGTAACTCTATTCTGTTGGGAAATGGTTCTTTTATCAAAATGCGTGACTAATAATCGGCTCGCTGAATCGAGCGAGTGCATCGCGTTGCTTGGATGCATCTGCTCGCCGCAGAAAGAATCAGAGCCGAAGTAGCGTCGAGTAACGTTAAAGCAAATGATACTCAAAGCTCACTTCTTAAAGTTGTAATCGACTGTGTCGAGTAAGTAGAGTGCGAGAACGAAAGAGGGGGTAGTGGTGAGTACACTTCCGAGTGTAGTCGAGTCGCTGGAGGCGATTATCTTCTCCTATCTTTTCTTTTTCTTCTACATGTTGTGGCCGATGACCACGAAATTACTCGGACGGACTCGAAGAAACAGCGAGAAGAAAAATGCGAGGCTCGCTGCGTGGCTCTCTCCTCGTCTCGTCCCTGTCCGTGGGGTAAGACGTAGCGACGAACGAAGAGTAGAGAGGGGCGTCTTCAGGGTTTGGCGGTAGTGACAATGCCAGTTCCTCGCGGGCTAGTTGGAGTCGAGAGCGACGACGGGATCGAGAAGTGAGAGACAAGCTAGCTGCCAACGCTGGCCGCTGATCGTGTAGTGCCTAGTGATACGAGATGACGGTTGCGCGAATGAGACCCGCGCTAGTCGCGGGCCTCTTCCTGAGCCTTCTAGCTGTCGCCTTACAAGGTCAGTAAAATCGACGAGCCGATTCACCACCATGCCGATGGGCTTTCACACATCGAAGACGGGACATTGGGTTTCGTGATCAAATAATTATAATCAACCGGTTGATCTCACTGTGGTTACTGTGGTGACAATATATCAATTTTATCCTACTGGTTGTGATTCGCAATTATATGAATTGACATACGTGCTCATTGCTTGAAATCTACATAGTCGGAATCGGATCTCGAATTGGCAAAATGATACCAAGAGGTGTTACTACTGGGAGAGGTGAACAGAATAGAGTTTGCGCGTAGCAGGGCGAAATAACGAAGAGGTAGGATGTCGTTTCGAGGCGTGGACACCGTCAACGACAAACAAGTTGAGACGTTGACGAAACTATGACGATTGACTGACGAAGGTCAATGTTACGTAAAGTTAGCGATCAGCGTCATCGGCGCCTTCTTCATCCATGCAATGGACTGTATCCATGATTTAGTCATCGTATGATACGTCTCGCGAGGAATCTATCCACCAAAAATATCGACGACAATTCTCTACTTGGCTTCGTGATGATTTCTCTTTTCCTTTTTATTGCCGATGACGAAATCACGTTCGTCGATATTCTCCGTTACTGCCACTCGAGCTTATCGTCAGTTTAATCTGTGGAAAATGGATTTACCAAAATAAAAAAAGACTAATAGAAGAAAAAAAATCTGAAAAATTTTTCAACGTTTAACATTTCGTAGCCATAAAATTACTCAATAAATTACTCCCTCCCCATCCCCGATCGCTAATTATATAAACCACACGTTGAATCTCTTCATCAATATCAATATTTAGGATATCTTGCAATTTCGAGCAAATAGACTCCTCTGAACTTCTTTGATAAACGAATAATCGAAGAAAGACGCCCCGAAAACGGAGTCTCGGAGTTTAAATAAAAGTCACGAGTGTTGATTCAAGGATTTGTTATTTCGGGAATCGATGGTAGTTGGCTGTCATCAACTCGCGCGAATAATTACATAAGAAACGGCATAAATCCGTGCCAGCCTTGCGTTATAAACTCCGAGAGAATTAAATAATTCCAATCCCAATAATTAAATGCAATCTGAAATAATCGAGTTCGGGTTTTCATCCCCAATCACAGCATATTTCACATCATAACAGACACACGGACGAATACGCATAAATTTTCGCTCAGTTTTTAATCAAACGTTTCCACCAGTTTCCCCATAATATCGTATCGTTAAGGATAATCGGAAAGAAATTTTAGTGCAGAAGAAATACGGAGCAAAAGTAACTTTCGCAAGGATCGTAACGAGTGGCGTTAATGAGAATAGCTTATTTTATCCACAATAAATCGTAGATTCTATGTTGAGTTTTCTTTGTTGACGATAATTGCAAAAAAGTTCGTTATGACTAGATGCGGCAAAAAGCTATACATATCGTAGACTATGGAACAAGACTCGAGGTTCTATCTTTATCCGGCGCAGCTGCTCTTGCCAAACGACAGCTGCGCGCGCGTCTCCTTCCGTCACACATCGTTCAAAAATTCTCTCGTATTATCGCGTATTATCTCGAGATGAGCGGCGAGCGACGATAACAGACGAAGCAAAATTTCTAGTCGATAATGGAGTTTGTAATAGCATAAAAGGACGCTAAAGAGAATGATATCGGCCATTTGATTTGACTGCACTGAAACCAACATTATGATTTTGTGTAAGGGTCCATTGGACTCAATTTTAGTTCTTCTTTAGATCCTGTTTTAAGCGATTCGTTTTAACCGAGGGTGAACGGATACGACTGATAAGTGTCAGAGCGATCGACATAGACGACATATTCGACCGAAAAAAAAACCTCATATATATATATATATATATATATATATATATATATATATATATATATAAGAGAGAAAAGGAAAGAGCTACTTTTGTTTCTTGCACTTAGTGCAAAGCAAACTGTCTCGCAAATCCAAGAAGAGGAGGAGGGAGGATTTAGTCGCAGGATAAGTAGAAAGCTATCTCAGTGCTCTCGGAAATACCGAGAGGACGACGACAAAACCGGAGATTCTTGCCAGACATTGCCATATGTGATATAACAATACGATACAGTCACTACACCGAAATGAAACGAAATTTCTCATATGTTTACGTGCGAGATCACGTGAGCTCGTAAACTACAATGATTCTCTATGTATCTGACAGTTAGGTAACCGTCGCGACGCGCAAGCTCGAGCGAGCATCGAACTAAACTGGCCGGACCGTAGGTCTTCTCGATTTCACCATTGCATCGATATCAATTTCACTGTTATCATTTACGCAGCCACATGGTCGCATCAAAGCTCGATATCTTTGGTCATGATTATATTATAATCTCACGGTAGTTTAGCCCCGATGTTTCCTCGAAACTATAACGAGTGCTTAATCTGAAAATATCATTAAACATCATTGCAACGGATTGCAAATTAACGGGGTAACAGAGAAATGGATTACATTAAACTCGATGTAGAAATTTTTTTTACATACAATTATTTCCGGCAGCAAACGTACTCTCTTGTTCTTGCACGAAAATAACAGTAGAATAGTATTCATGGTAGATTCTTATACCAACAACGCTATATAAATACACTTAATAAACAAATAGCTTTTTCTTTACTATAATTATATCGTTGTGTGCAATTTATCACTGTACCAAACACTTTTTCCTCAGTGTATACGGTAGGAGAACTTTATACTGTACAAACAGTATGAACATTGTATATTATATTTGATAATATAAATTTCGGCCAATCGACAGTCCAATCAACTCGCAGCTTTCTTTCGTGAACAGATGATAAAAATACGATTCGCGCTCGCCTAATATATAAATATTTCTAAGCGTCGCTCTCTCGGCTCAAAGCCGCCTACCCGACGCTAAATTTAGAAACCGGCCACGTCCCAGGTACCGCCTGTAGAAAGATGATATCGACATTTTCTTCGGTGGAAACTCCTAACCGTTCCTTCGCATTTAAATCGAGAAGTTTGAAAGAAGCTTTTGTAAGCCGCGCAAAAACACAAGTTCTATGGTAAATTCAGAACTGAAGACATGCGCGACACTGTGTAGTGGTGATCTGTGTCGTACGACGCATCGACACGCTCTGAGAGAAATTTAGTAGCATTTAGCAGGGGTACAGGGGATCATTTCTCTCTTTCCGCAAACGTTTAATTCGTATTGATGAACGAACGAACATGTCTGCGAGAGGAAACTCTATGTTCTCTTCGTTATGTTAAAAAAGCGCCGTCTTATGTTTTTAATATCCTCGGTTTCTCAATTCTCAGTGCTGACCTCTGTCAGCAACTGACTCTCCTCTCCTCTTCCATCACGTGAAAACCAAGAAACGAATAGTTCAGAATTTGGAGCTATTTGTGGATCTTTCGATCTCCGCTAGTTAAAAATTTTGAGCTCCTTTTCCTGAGCTGAAAAATTTGGATTTCCAAGTGGAACGCGTTCACTCAGCTGCCTTGCCGCCACCTAGAAACGTCAGGGAAACGAGCTCAAACTAGTTTTAACTAGCGGGAATCGAGAATTCATAAATAGCTCCAAATTCTGACTTATTCGTTTTTCGGTTTTCTTTACGTTTTTCTTTCTCAGTTGTCTCAAGACAGAATATATGTTAAAACGTACTCGCGAACTCGGCCGAATTAGAGTCGACAGAGAAAAGATATTCAATTTAAAGTTCCAACCACGGCAGAAACAAATGGCCGACGCGGATGCCGCGGACGCAACGGTGATGCAAATTTTCATCGGACACGTCGCGTGTATGATAAGTCGCGTTAGGTATTCCTGAACACCTGTCACCACGCGACAGGTGAGCACGCGCACCTTACGACGATGCGTGGACGATGCGTAATAACTTTGACAGCTTCTTGCGTCACTCGGGTCACAGATATTTCGGGTGGTGGTCGCGTGGCGTTAAACTCACCGCGCCACCGAAAGCGCGAGTCCTGTGAGCGCGCAATGGATTATCTAATATCGCGTGCGCGCCACGTTTCTCTTGGCACCAATGTATTAACACTCGCACACGGATGTGCAAAACCCCCAGCGAGAATTTTCCCAGCTGAAAATTTCTGGCAACCGGACACTCGCAGTGAAACGCGAACAATGTAAATATCTCGACGAGGCGAAGCTTTTACGCGAGGTTACCGCGCATGTATATCTGTGCCTCCGCGCTCTACCATCACCTATACTCGTTATGCGATATATCGCAGAACGATCGTACCCGACGAGCTGTTGGCCAACAAGCCGACTTAGATCGACTCAGAATAATGTTATAATATATTGTCGTAGGTGTCCTGAGCGAGGAGGAGCTAGACAAGGTACCGTCCGAAGACTTGTGTCGACCGTATATTGAGAAGGCGCTCAAAGGCCTCGGTACAGGTAATACTAGATGATGGCGAATATTCGACTGGAACATAGCGATTTCTAGAATATTTCGTTTCAAGGATCTCTGGAGCAGACCAGTGCAGAGGTTGGAGTTGGGGTCGAGGTCGACCAAGAGAGTCGCGAGGAAACACGGGTTGCGAGCGAAGAGGTAAGGTAGAGTCTTCTTTCAACGACAGGTCTCATCCTGAGACCTGTTCAAAGAAATGACCAATCGGCCGAGATTGTCGCGACTAATTCACTTTCAAGCTGGGTCTCATTTAAAATCAATCGACATCTTAGTAACGCACAGTTATTTATAGATATAAATAATTAACGAATAACACGCAGAGAGTGAAAGTGCAGTAGAAAAATTAATTTATTTCCTTTTCTTTCTTTTTTATTAGGTACTAGCTGATGAAGCAGCAAACGACGTTTCAGAAGAGGTGGATGAAATCAAAGACGAAGAAGATACGGTAGAACAAAGCATTGAAGCGGCAGAAGCTGACGAAAGTAAAGAAGCGACTGAAGAACAAGTCGATACTAGCGAAGAAAAGGTAGAAGGTAAATCCGAAAAAGATGAAGGCGGACAAAGCGACGAAGCCGAGACTACCGAGAGTGCTGAGATCAGCACCGCCCGGGAAGGTAAGAGGTAGCTGCAGTCGCAATATACTTGAAATTAATGTACAATACGTAAGTTAAGATTTCTCTTTCTTATAGAGGAAATAGAGGAAGCAGCTGACACGCCCGCCGGGATAGCTGAAGAAGAACAGACCGACTCTCCCGAGAAAATAACCGAAAGCGAAGAGGGCTCCGATCAAGCGACAGCCGAGGAGGAAGATGAAAAGCCCGACGAAGAAAAATCAGACGAAGAAGCAAAAGTAGAAGATGAAAAGTCTGAGGAGGAGGAAGAGAAAGCAGACGACGAAACAAAGTCCGAGGAAGAAAAGGACGAAACTGAAGAAGAATCGAGAATCGAGGAAGAGGAAGGCCAGCAAGAGGAATCCGAAGAAGCTACCGAAGAAGTAGCGCTCGAGTCTAAAGAAGAGGCGGAATCTGAGCAAGCATCTACGGAAGTTAGCGTCGAAGCGGAAGGAGCCGAAGAAGATGCCGTATCAATCGAAGATCGGACACTGAGTGGTGAAAGTAAACAGGATAGCGTCGAGGAAGAAGCGCAAACTGAGAGTGCCGAAGCTGAAAGTGAAATAGAAGAAAGAGCGAGTGAAGAAACTACTGAAGTAACCGGTTCTGAGGATATAGAAGAGAGTGCAAAATCAGCAGAAGCGGAGGACGAAGAAGAAGAGGACAAAGGAGAAGAAGAAGAAGAAGAAGCAAGAACGATGTCCGCCGAGGAGGAAGAGGAAAAATCTGCGGAGGACGAGAAGAAATCCACAGAGGACGAAGAAAAGGAAGCGAAATCTGAGGAAGAAGAAGCAAAATGCGACAAGGATGACGCGGAATGTGAACGTTCTGCCGAGCAGGGAAGTCAGGGGAAGAGTAAAGCCGAGAAATCCGAGGAAGAAGAAGACAAGGAGGATGAAGAGGAGACGGAGGGAAAATCGGAAGAGGAAGGAGCAAAGTCTGAAGAAGAAGAAGAAGATCGACATGTCAAATCACGCGGAAGGCGACAAGTCGACGAGGAAGATACTAAAGTAACTGGCGAGTCTATGGAGGAAGGTAAAGGAGATCGACATATTCTGTTTCTTTCTTTCTTTCTTTCTTCTTGTGCAATTATATTTTTCATGTTACTATCGTGTTACTTATGTCGCGTAGTATTACGTCATGTACTGCGACGTACAGTGACACAATTAATACAGCTACTTTTGATACGATAGGTAATGCGAAATTATTATGACAATTTCTCACATGTTAGCAGCCATTAGCGAGGAAGAGGAAGAGAAAGAGGAAGAGCGAGAACAAGAGCCCACTCCGGAGGAGGATTTGATTCAGGATATCGAAATACCAGAGAACCTCCGGCCTAGAGATCACATAAACCAGCTGTTAAAATTAGACGAAGAAAACGAGCAGAAGGAGCGAGCTACGCAAAGAATGGCAGATATCATTCTCAGGGATCTGAAGAGACTGTACGACAACGCTATACAGCCGTTAGAAACCATGTATAAATACAGGGACTTGAGCAACAGACACTTTGGAGGTGAGCGAACACGAGTGTGTGTGTGTGTGTGTGTGTGTGTGTGTGTTTAGTCGGCATGCTTATATACTTAATTTCCTTATAATTTCCTAAAAGCGACTATGAAATTAATTGTACGATCACCTGCTGCTTCAATAATCCGGTCTGTCGGATCGTTATTTCCTCTGTGCCGATAGATCCCGAGATATTCTCCAAGCCACTAGTGCTCTTTATGGGTCCGTGGAGCGGTGGAAAGTCGTCCATCATCAATTACCTGCTTGACATCGAGTACAAACCCATGTCGCTGAGGACAGGTGCGTAAGTAACGAATGAAAGCGTGTACCAACCACACTCTGGTTGGCTTTGCGCTTAAAAAGTGACGAGGATTTAGCGGTGGGGGAGCGTGCCGGGAGGGCATTGAGTAGCGTTTAGACGGTTTGTAAAAGTGCTTAAAGAAGCATTACGGAAATTACGCCAACTATGGAAATGACGTAGGGGCCGAGCCATCCCCGGCGTATTTTAACATAATAATGCACGGCGAGGAAGAGGAGATCCTCGATGGCACCCAGCTGGCCGCCGATTGGACCTTCTCGGGGCTGCAGAAGTTTGGCCAGGGTATGCTGGATCGTCTCAGAGGCCTACGACTCAACAACAAGTTGCTGGAAAAGGTAAGCGAGGGCAAAGTGGCAAACGGCGATCGGCGTGAAGAAATGAGAAAAGAATAGAAGAGAATGGGGCATACACAATGTTCCGTATTGTAATTAACCGCTACATCGTCAGGTGAATATCGTCGAGATACCAGGAATCTTGGAGATTCGTAAGCAAGTTCAACGTTTGTTCCCCTTCAACGACGCCTGCCAGTGGTTCATCGATCGAGCGGACATAATATTTCTGGTTTACGATCCCGCCAAACTAGACGTCGGACCCGAGACCGAGGCGATTCTGGACCAGCTGAAGGGAAGGGAATATCAGGTGAGAAGTAATAATGAGAATACACCGCGAAGGTGGAGATAGGAGCGAGCGACATAATCATTGTGCGAACTTGTTCCCGAGCATTTGATAGATACTAGATATACAATGATAATAACGACGATATAACACAACTGTCGACAGACCCGCATCATTCTTAACAAGGCGGACCAGGTAAAACCGGAAGAATTGATGAGAGTGCAGGGCGCATTAATATGGAATATATCGCCGCTGATGTCAAGTGCAGAGCCGCCGATAATGTACTCCACGTCGTTGTGGTCGTTACCCTATGAGGCTGGCGCCCCCACCAGACTGCTGTACGCTCAGGAACGCGCATTCCTGCGCGATCTGCGTACCGCGATAAACAAGAGAGTCGAGCACAAGATAGCGAGCGCCAGAAGATTTGCCGTAAGTTGATTCTCCTAGTTTGCTCTAATGAGCAAACAGCTCGCTCCTACTTCGCTCCCTGCAACGAAAGAAACGGCGAGATCGATGAAACTTGGATTGGAAACTCGAATGAGCAAAATCTGTTGAATCAAATAAATTATTGTGACGATTAATTGTGATTGAATAATTGGTCGACGGCAACTACATCGACATGGTGTATCGTTGTACCAACGTTGATATAATTCGTGGATTACGATGTTTGTCGATGGTGGATGATAGGCGATTTGTCGATTTCAGGTACGAGTGCGCAACCACGCGAAAATGGTGGACTGCTATCTAACAACGTACTACAATCACAAGACGTTCTTCGGCGACAAACGGCAAATCAGCGACAAGATTATCGAAAATCCGCAAGACTATCACATCTACGAGGGTCTCAGCACTCTGACCAACATATCGCGATACGATCTTCCCGACCCGGACGTTTATCGTGATTTCTTCCGATTAAATGCGCTCTACGACTTCCCGCTGCTGAGCTCCACGTGCACGTACTTCCGCGGCTGCCCGATCAATAGGCTCGACGTGGCCATCGCCTACGATCTACCCGAACTTGTGGGCAAGTATAAGAAGTCGGTGGAGGCGGTGCTGCACGAGAACGAGAGTAACAACAGCCCTACGAGTTGAGTACGAGTCTGCAGTCCGAAACAGAGTAGCTCTTGATACCATGTGAAGTACGGACTGGTGAGGCTTAGCGCCGAAATGCCTTGGTAGCGCGAAAGTAAAAGTCAAGGACAAAAGTCGTCGCGACTCGCGCGTTGTACGACGAGGACTCCGAGGACAGCGAAAGTGGTCCGATATTTGAGATGGTACCGAGGACTCTCTTTCTAAAATTCGGAGAGTTGGGTCGCGCTATCCTCGCATCGTGTTCGATGTTGCTCCAAAGACAAGCGGTCGGTGATTTACGTGAGAAGCTCTGAGACGATTATGAAGGAAAGAGAGAAGAGCAGGAAGCAGTTTGTCGAAGCATGCGAGCTGAGGTATCGGTTATCTATCGAGAGGATAGCAAACTCAACGCCAAGTATCCGTAGATCCGAATAGTTTAGCCTCGTCCCTCAGGGCAGAACACGACGAGTGGAGTGTGTATCATGCCAAGTCGGTCGGCGCAACTCCTCCTCCTCCTCCTCCTCCGCGATTGCAGAGAAGAGCAAGTGTGTTGCTTATCTGGTAAACAATGCGAGTGCTACCATTCCGATCCAAAAGCGGGCAGTGAGAGTTCTCCTCGAATATGTGTTCAGATATCGGTTCCTCTTGACGAAAACGCACGTTTAGGTGCGCAACAGAGATGTCAACTCGCTTCTACAAGAACTCGACTCGAAAATATCGAAATTTTATCTTCTTGACTCGAAGAATCATTGCTATCAAGTTTCTTTCTAACATTGATCAGAGATTGATCTGCCTAATTTTTATCTCGTTAAATTCCAAAATTTGAGAAGATTGCATCTTTTTATTTTCGACTTTTTTTTTCAAAATCGAGTTCTCAAGGAAATGCACAATATCATTGTTGCATCGAGTCCTTCAATTCGTTTGTCTCGTGACGACGAATCGATGCCTGCTGAAAGCCTTTTTTCTCAAAGAAAAACAGACTCTCCGGAATCAACGTAATGTTGAACAACTGCAACAGTTTCGTCCGCCAAGTTCCTTCATGACAGGAACATATCTCTAATCGTATCGAAATATTTCCATTGTGAAAGAGATAAAGTGATCTCTCTTTGTGGCTTTTGTGAAATATGCCTTATATAAACTGATTGTGTTCTTATTAAACTGTAATTAAAACAATTATAACAAAAGTGTGCTGATTTCTCACGCGTTTCCAATGTGATAACGTGTGTGAGATAGATCGTGGTGGAGCTTTTCTGATCCGAGATTTGGACTTGTTCGAATTTACAGTAGGCGCAACATGCGTTTCCTACATATTTTAGACACGGAATCTTCTTACATAATTATATCGTAAGATTCGCAGATACTTTTAACCCTTCGTTTTTTAAATTCTGAAATCCTTGACGATTTTTTCCTTTCAACTCCGAGATCCTTAGATATTTTTTACTATTTAAATCCCTAAATTACCACGAATTCTCGCGATGTTTTCTTCTCAATTCCCTTTCTTTCATAGTTTCTTTCCTTTAATTTCCAATTCCTAACGATTCTATTTCTATTCTTTAAAGTTTGCTTAGACTTTATATTCTTAGACTCGAAGCCTGTACTCCCTAGTAGATTACTAGTAGAAGATTGCCTCATGCTCCTTATCCATCGTTGTTGCCAATATTACTAATCTCGAACTGACAGACGAAAACGTTCACAATAAGTGAATCACATTAATATGTACGATTCTAATAAAAAAGCAATGATCCTACGCGAAGGCAAATATAGTAATGATGTGTTTCCAGTTCTCTGCGCATTGCGTCTTACAACGAGCGCGCAGCACGTTTTAATCGATTTGCATTCTAAATCGCGGATAATCGAGAGAACTTTATTTATCCACATAAGATTATATAAGCGATACGCGATTTATTATACTCTTAAATGCGAATATTGTTAATATTATTATTGTTGTTGTGCATTGTTGTTGCTATTGTCATCATTGTTATCTCACATTATATACATTATATATAAAGATTACATTAAGTAAATTTAGTATTGTTACAAGAAACATGTGTTACCGAGGCATCTGTATCTCTCTAGTTGGAGTACGGTATCATTTAATACATCGGCGAACAATGTACTTTTAGATTAAGTAAAGAAAGCGGGCGGACGGGCAGGCGAGCGAGAGAGCGAAAGAGCGAGAGAGAGAGAGAGAGAGAGAGACTTTACGAAATTATAATTCTAAATACTGTTTAGGCAAGTGTATGTTTGAAATAAGAACGTGTGTAATGATACTTCTGTTTATATGTATGTATATATATATATATATATATA